ACATAGATACTCACTAAAACCACTGCACATCATAAAACATACCTAAAAAATTCATTGATAGCATTCCAGCAACAAGGTGCAATAATGACTCTCTCATAAACTGGTGAACAATAGCTTATGAAGATGATGACTAACAACAAGCATTAACAGACCAGTCAGAAGTGAAGCCAACATGTGGAAGAAAATTATGAAATATTTCATACTGGAGAAAGATGAGGGCAGAACTCTGCAGAATCTGAGCTGACACATTGAAAGTTGGCTCCCTGTGCCAAAACACTTGAACAAACATTTTGGGCACTTGTAATTATGTGCTAACTGGGCTCAGGAAGGCATAGCTGACATTTTTTTAAAAGAATACCCATGCCCCAAAGCAAAACAAAGCACAAAGTAGCAACTGCCAATGAGGTCAGTAAATATCAAATATTTTCCTTCAAGACCCCTTGAAATACCTTACAGAAACCCTTCAAAGTAAAACAAACATTCCACATAGAGATTTATGAGGCTCACAGTATGGGGGAAAAGATCTACAAAGCTTCAGAGGTAAAATTGATGCTTGTGAAATAGGTGTGGCAGGAAAAAAAATTGGAATTGAAAGACCAGAAACAGAACATAAAGGTCAGAGACTGATAAAAAGCCTTACAATTAAAAATTGATCATAACAGAATTTGGATCAACTAGAATATTGAAATATTGTACCTATCAGAATTAGCAACTTTGCTTACTAGAACACATCATGAACCTGGGATTGAGTACCTCCTGTACTTGACAGGTCCAAGTGCAGAAGCTAGCCTTCAAGAGTTGCCTTGACTTTTGGAAAATTTATTGAATTGCTGGCTGGTGAGGGGAATACCACTGATTTGACATATAGTCTAGTTTATAGAATAGAGTAGGAAATTGTTTTATTTACCAGGCCTGTAAAGCTAAGAAAAATACTAGAGATGCTTTTCTTTTCTGGAAAAAATCTCTCTTATATTTGGGGTCAGGACAACACACCATTGCTCTTGGGTACCAATAGCTGTGGTCCATCAAGGTTAATTAAGGAACTAAGTTAATCTTTATTGCTGATAACTGAAAAAATAGAAAACTACTGCCTAAGGAGTAACTATAGCCAAGCCCAACGGTAGCTAAGCCCTATGTCCCAAGGTCATTCTGAGGGGCTAAGGATAAATGCAGATGGAGGACTGATTTGTTGCAGCTATATGCCTGTATGGGGGAGACACAAGCAGGTAAAACACTTCATAATCACAGAGAGAAAATAGCAAGGTAGTATCAGACACAGAAGAGCAAAACAGCTTTTTTCTAAACTGAGAAAAAACAAACTCCAAAACAAACTGTAAGCACTTTTGGAACTGTGAAAAAGGAACTGTCTTCTGATATTTGACTCCTACAGTATTTGGGGGAACGTACCTTTATTGTAAGTAAAAAGGATTAAAGACTCCATCAAAGATTCCATTAATTTCCCTTTCTAATGGGACCCACCCCTCCCTCACCCCTTTCCCCCAAAAACCTGAATGCAGACTATCTACCTGAGTCAAAAGGACTATCAATATTTTCCTTACCTGTTGCTGTATGAAAGACCACTCACAAACAACAGGGGCAATTGTGATACTTCCTGACTATAGGGAAACAGTGAAATGTAGTGTATTTTCAAATGGACAAAGCGGGCAAATTGAATAAAAGAGAAAATGAGTAATCTTAGGAATTAAATTAAACAAGGCCAGGTAAAAAGTGTTTAGAGAAACATGTGATTAAGTTCTTAGGCTTAAACATGGGGAATACACTACCAACATCTCCTTTTTATATAGCAAAAGATTCCTTACTCCATCACAAGCCATTTGGAGATTAAAAAGGCAAAACCATCTTCAGTTGCTGGATGTGGACTAACCTAACATTTGAAACAAGTCAAAGAGGTAGTGTATGGGCCTCACCACTGACAAGCACGTGAACAAGCATGACAAAAATGTACCTGGAGGAAGCAGTTATCATTTTGTACCATTTCCTTCCATCTTACATTTGCACAGGTAGGTTGGTGTTCCAATATCCGAAAATACAGTATTTCCCCTCCTTCACACTCTCTAAACATCCTACCTACTACTGCCTGCTCTTGTCTCCCCACATCCTGGCTGCTGCTGCCACCCTCCACTCCCCAGAGTACTTGAATCGGCAGCATGGTCACTGGGTGCTCTGGGCTCCCTACTCCCCAGATTCAGGGAGATCCAGGTACCCCTGGATGCTGACAGAACTGGAAAACTTTCTGGAACTGGGATACTCTGTGGTAGGTGGTGAGTGAAGTCTCAGTCTCCAAGAGACACATGCTACAGAATTGCAATGACAGTCTGCTCCACGCTACCCTCACAGGGTTGGTGGGGAGGGAGGGGGGCAGATTCTTATATCACTTGTACCTCCTGTTGTACCCCCCTAGCTGGAACGTGTGCCCACTGTGTGCAACCATAGTGATGCTGAAGCACTCTAGCCAGAATATGTGACAGGGGACCATATATCTATCTGCTACTGAAACCCTCCATTTCTTAAATGTTTCAAACCCCATTACATTTTGAAATGTTTGAACACTACATGTCTATCTTCTATGAAAGATGTTTGGCTGTTCTCACTGGGTTGGGCAAAGTGCATGCAGCACCACAAACTCAAAAGCATAGGGACTGTTGGCTAGATTGACTAAAGGTCAATGGTTTATTTAAGGGACAAAAGGGAGAGAGAGCATGAGCAATTGAGCCATTGGATCTTCTACACTTAGGCTAGGGACAGAAGTTGCACATAAACTGGTTAAGTTACAAGAAACTGGTTTAAACCTGTAACATAATAGAAGTTCAGTGCACATAAACCAGTTTCAAAATGCCTGAAACTGGTTTAAAATGAACCTGGCTGTATATAGTATCAAATTTAACTGATTTAGGTCAAACCAGTTTATGAAATGTCTGTCTCAGACACCTTCCTGGTTCAAGTTAAATCACAATCTCCCAGCATCCCAGCATGATTTACAGCCCTGGGCTAGGCTGTGCTGTCTGCTCTAGCAGAGAAGGGTTGGGGGGCGGGGGGAGGCAGGAGCAGCCCCTCCCACCAGGCAAACCCAGGGACCAGGGAGTGGGGTTTAAACTTCTTTTCCCCCAAGTACAGAGCTGCCCTGCCATGCCCTGCCCTGCATTTCTTGAATCAAAAGTGAATGTGTCTCCAGTTGTTTCTCTGTTTAATCTTTGCAGTTTAGATTAACCTGAGTCGATTCAGCCTTGACATTTTTGATTGTCTGTATTTAGCTTTAGAGATGGGAATATAAATCTATCGGGGTGTCATATCCAGATTAGGCACTGCAAGGAGACAGCAGAGTACCACGTCTTGGTTACAAGCAGGCACTGGCCCCAGGTGGGGCTGGGCTCAGGACCCTCAGAGGGACTGAAGGGTCACTGTGAGGATGGTCTGGAAATTACACCAAAATTACAACACAGAGCCCAGGTATCAAGGGAGAGCACATCAGGAGGTAGGTAATAAGAAGACAGCAAATGTGGATATTCATCCCTGGCACAGACTTCTCTTTGGTAGAAGACAAGATGTCTGGATTAGAGTGGCGACTACTTTGGCAAAGTTCTCCCCCTTCCTCCCCTCACCAGAATCGCTAAAGCTGAACACAGTAGAAATCAGCCTGGTAGCAACAGCAACCAGAGGCAAGAGGAAGGCAGGAACCCAGGATGCTTCCCCCTCACTAAAGCTGAGGGGTAGATTGGCTGGACTGTAACAAGTGGCTGTTTCTGGGAGAACAGAATATGCTTTGCCTCTTAACAGAGACAAAGGGCAGAGTCAGGGCCTTCTCAATGCTTGGAATCACTGACACACGTGCTCCAGTCCTTGCTTTTCCAAGAAGAACTGGGCACAAAGTGGAGAATGAAGATCCACACAGTAGCTAGCATTCAAAATTTTATTATGGCACCTATAACTTCTGATGCATTGGGGGTGGGGGGAGGGGGAATATAGTCTTCAAGAGATAGAGAAGGCTTCTCCTGCTTAGAGGCAGCATATATTTTGTAGTAACAAAGCAGATTTAAAATGGAGAGGCTATTTCATACAAATGATCTGCAGCAGTGGGAGAAAGCCTACCTAAATCCACTGAGGCTCAGTGGACAAGGAAGGTAGCCTGTCTTACCAAGGAAGTTGTGACACAGGTGAATGTTGCTGTAGTTAAGACCCTGGCTAAAAATGGGGATCTTGAGGGAGTTGGAGTAGCGTATAATCTCATTCCAATCAAAGGGTGTGAAATGACAAATGCAAATGAAGCAGTCATAAAGCTCATGATAAAAGAAAGCAATAAGCATGTTATTCCTAGTGTCCTGAATTCCAGCGTACCTGACAATGAGGCAAAGAGAGGAAGTTAATGCTTTGTTACCCAGATATAAAGCTGGCACAGACTATGTTTACCCTTGAAGGAGGGAGAGAACCAAGTGACTGATTGTAACATTGGTCTGTTCTTGAGCCATCTGTATATCAGGTCATTCATGAGTTAATTAAAACATTACAATCATGTTAGTGAATAATGTGTTCAACATTTAAAGGTAGGCAGCCTTACAAAAAGACTGATTCCATATAATTATTTTCAATGCATGCCTACTTATTTTTAGGCATCCATTTATGACAATATTTTATTAGCTGTGCATGTATCTCTGTATATAACTTTTTCTACAATAGCAAGGTAAATCAAAATAATATGGACTGTTCATAGATACATTACTAAATCAATAAAGTTCCTTGCACAGTGATTTCAGAGTAAGTCCACTTCTGTTTAACCTTTTGAAACCAATCAGTTAGCACTGATCAAAAAATACACTACAAATCATTCCACTAGCAAGAGATTAATAGCTTAAATAGGTATAACAATGTTAGCCACACTAAAATAATGAAGCCATATTATTTTTATAGTTTATAAAGCCAGCTTAAAGGAACAGATAACTGTCTTGATGGATCTGAGTTTCAGAAGGCTAAATTTAGAACCTGTTAGAAAAGCAGGCTGCATACACAGACTTTTAAGAGTACATTACTTTGTGTGTGTAATAGCCTGGACTTCTTTATCCAGGAAGTAAAATTCAAAAGGAGAAGTTAAAACTACATTTCTTAGCTAAAGCATTGTTAAAATTATTAAACAGACTTCAGAGTTCTATTTAAAAAGATTGCACACAACTTACCTTATTTATCACAGGACATCTGAAAGATTTGTATACATAAAATTACATTAAAAAAGCTTAATTCCATTTTGTTCAACTATTTACAAGTTCATATTGTTAAAAGTACTTGTGTGTCTCTTCCATACATTTCTCTCTCTCTCTTCCCCTCCCCCTCCATATCTTTGGCTCCCAGAGAGTAAGCACTTACCAGTTCTCACCTACCTCACTCACTTGAGAGCAGTCAGCAAAAGCAAGTTATATGGCATAATTTGAAGAAATGACAATATAACATCGCTTTTTTTGTCCAACCCCCTCCGTCTGGTACCTGCAAGTTACACGTCATCAATGAGATATGCACTACCTACTAACACAATGTGATGTAGGACATTATTTCCAAGAACATAAAGATCTGTTCTGAGAATTTCCAATATATAGCAGTGACCTATCACATCCTAAAACATATTCCTCTGACTTTCACACACAAGGATTGTTATGGCACCTGTAACTTTAGTATCTAAAATAAAATTAAGCTGCATCATTCCATAATGAAGATGCTAAAATTTCTATCCATTTATTTCCAGGTTGGATGCCATTTTACTGGGGAGCAGTTTAGGTGGGATACAAAGGGGAAACAAATGTCACCTTTGTGCCAACATAAACATTTTTGTTAACTTTATGGCGTGAGAGCATGGGTAGCCCAGAACAGCCTGCACTCCAGCTGAGCTAGATAGGATGATCCTGGGGCTTGATCCTGTGCAGGCCAGAAATTCCTGCACAGGATTGGACACTTCAAGCTTCAGGAGCACCTACCTGGCTTTCCCTGCTTTCGGCGATTTGTCTCAGAGATTTCCCAGGGCATGTAAGGGGAGAAAGCTGGGGTTCCCTGCTGAGTGATGTGCTCCTGGGAATCTCTGAGGTGTCTCTCTGTAAGCAGGGAAAACTGGGGCTCCCTGCTTCCAAAGATGTGCCCTGGAAATTGCTTGTGGTGTATTTCTGCTAGCAGGAAACCCTGGCTTCCCCAATTACAGAGATGTGCCCTGGGGAATCTCTAATGTGCAAGTGGGGAACATATCACCAGTTGTCCTGCAGGATTGGATCCCCGCCAAGTTCAGGACAAGAGCCAATGTGCATTTCACCCTACGAAGCAGATCAACTGTGGTGGGACACATCCTGCCACAGCTGGTCTGGTTCATTTGACAACATCTATTTCTACCCATAGATATAAAAACCTGTGTTACAGCCACGGCACAGCTCCTTCTGTTGGGGACTCCCCAGACTGCTGTTTTGGGCCTTGTGCACTGGGCCTGTGTACTTTTAAACTTTCTTTGATATGAATAGGCTTAGCCCTGTCTTTCTGCTTGGCCTCTATGGTATATTTCCTGGACACAGGCTGTATTTTCTTTACCCCTTTGCAAAAATGGGACCTTGTGGTTTAGCTATCTTTAACCTTTCAGGCCATCCAGGATCCCTCCTCTTCTATGAATCATCTCTTCTGATTCCTGCAGTTGGACAGATACATGTCAAACAGAATTCATAATTGTATACACACTGACCAACAATTAGATTTTGCTTGCATAAAAATAAAGCACTGCAAGTCAATATTTTGATTCTTCTGTGGCAACATTAAAGATCTGATGCATTTAACAGGAGGTTTAGATCTACTATCTTTGGCCTACACTTTCTCTCCAGCTCACCCAAAGCTGGAGAGTCTGCTTTGTGCTAGGTAGTTTCTGTTCTTCTCCTTGACTTTAAAGATCAAAGGTTTTGTGCATCTATTGTTTGTATAATACCTTGGAGGTCCTTCAGGTGAAATGTTGATGCAAGTAAAATAAAAAAAGGCTTTTAGGAAGAAAGGAATCAGAGTGTGTTAAAGTGCCTACTTAAAGGGATTTTAATTCTTAAAGAGTTTTTGAAAGTCTCTCCTTATTTCTAAATGCTTTAGTAGAACACATTATGTACACATTGCATTTTCTTTTCTTACAGCACCCACAAGAAGTTCCCCAGTAAAACAATGCAAATTCTGTTGAAGGAACCTGATTTTTCACATTCTCTTTTTTATGCTGGTTCTTTTATCTTACCTAATACTATGTAATACTTTACTGCACTGAATAATAATAAAAATAGGCTTAATTATAATAGAAATTTTCAAGAGAATAAAATTATCCGTGAACAGATTTACTTAGGCTCTTTAAGCTTTTCTATGTTTTAACCAAATCAGAATTACTGTTCTAAAACACGCTATTTATTTCACCATATCAACTGCATATTATTCAATTTAGTGTTAAAAGTATGGTCTGGCATAAACTAGTGATGGGAAACTGTCACAAGATTCAGCATTTACTGTCAGCTAAGAACCCCAAAGTTTGTCCACACTGATATAATTTGCTGACTATTCTTACTGTTCCCTCTGCTTCTCTACGTTTATTATATGTAAATCTTCAGAGAAGGCAGAGATGGATCATATATTTTAAATTAAATAATTTATCTTCCTGTCAATGTAGTAGGATCTGTAATAAATCTACAATAGATCTTCTAGAGTTACAGTCAATCTAGTTTTAAGTGTCTTAAGCACTGGAGTTTCCATCAATCTGATGTAAAACTGCCTCCCAGACTAATGGCTATTTAAACATTTTACCTGATACTCAGTAAATATTTTCTTTTCTATGTCCTATTTCTCTCAGCTACACCCTCCTGCATTATGCTAAACAATTCCCCTCCCTGGTGGGTTCTTATTTACACACTTAGAATAGTAATGGTCAGTTTTATCTTCCCAGCCCTCTATGCCAACCAACACAATTATCCCTTAGCCATGCTATGAATCTCATTTATTTCCATCTTTTGCCAGAAATTAAACCCTTCCAGCACAGTAATTATTTTTGTTGCTCTTCCTGGGTGTCCTTTAATTCTGACTTCATACAGAATTGAATGTGCTATTTCAATTACAGTTTCTTTAATCATATACAGCAAGGGGAACCATTACCTCCATGCTCCAAAATAACTATTACTGCAGCTCCAAAGGACATTGGATTATTCTCCCTGGGTACATATATATATCTACCAATATACATATCTTATGTCCACCACTATGGTACTTGACTACCTCCCAAACACTAATGAGTTTGTCCTCACAAGTACCCTGTGAATCATGGATGTACGCTTACTGTCCTTTTCCCTCCCCCTGCTTGTCTACTCTGCCCCAGACAGCAGCAACCACCATGCTCTGAGAGTAGAATACTTTTACATCTCACTCCCAAACCATTTTCACCATCTTCCACAACATTATCAGCTGGGAGGGGTGGGGCCAGTTATGAAAATGCTGAAATTTCTCTTATATGAAAAATGAAGTGGAAGACTAGGACACACAGAATCTCCCTACTCAAGAAGTCACAATTTAACAGTGAAGAGAGAATGGATAACAGTCAGCTGCACATACCTTGAATCACTCCTAATAGTAAAAACCCTATCTTCTTCATGAATGGCTGATCAGAGGAAACATGCCATGAAATGCAGGCTATAAATGGCAACTACCTAGCAAACTGGCTATTTAAAATGGATGGAAATAAAAACATTACAAAACTTATCAAGCATATGGTTTAATATTGCCTTTTAATGCACCTTTTTGGAAGAACGTGTAGAAAAAGCCTGCCTACAGCTGACCTTGTTAAATGTGTTTCTTTTGTATGAATTTGCCCTGAAAAAAGGAAGTCTATGTCTTGTGAAGGAGCGAGTGATATAAAGCAGGCTGAGGGGCATCATGTTCACATCATCACCACAGATACGTGGAGTAGCAGTCAAACGTGTAGAGTACAATGTACAATCCTGCATCCTGCCAAGTCCAGCTCAAAATTATCCATTGTGCAAATGGAAACATGCAGAGCTATGTATAAAGGTTTAGAAAGAGAGCAGGCTGCACTTAATCAGCAGCACTGTAGAATGTGGCTTGTTCCCAAAATCACTGAAAGCTACTACACTCATTGCACAACATGCATGTTAAGGTATCACATTTTTATACTGAAGTTTGTATATGAAAAAGATATAGATAAGCACATAGATTCAATTTGGTGATCAAGGCTGTCTTTCACAGTAACAAAAGTATTTTGAGTGAAACAAAATATTATAGAATCGTAGGAAAGCAGGGCTAGAAGGGACCTCATAAGGTCATCTGGTCCAGCCCCCTGCTCAGAGCAAGATTGTCCATGACTAACCATCCCAGTCAGTGACTGTCTAACCTGCTCCTAAAAATCTCCACAGCTGAAGATTCCAGAGTTTCCCTAGATAGCCTGATTCAGTGCTTATCCACCCTCATATTAACAGGTGCTGACCATTTGACCAAGGTTTGGGAAAAATCCAGGATTAAAAAGAAATAAAAAGTATGGCTGAAGCTGGGGTTCTTTAGTTGACTGGAACTCTGCAAACTACAACTGAGTGAAGCATGGGGATTAGCAACAATCCATGCATGCCTGGAGAGTCAGCAGTGATACTGGGCATATGCTGCCATTTACCCAGTATCTGTAACTGTTGCAGAGAAAAATCCAAGTGAATGTGAAGAATTAAAGGCCCCCAAATGCCTTTGCAATTTGTAGATTGGCAAACATGAACAACAAAAATGCTTAATCAGAATTTTGTGTCCCTAAAAATAAAGGGAACATGTTGACTCCTTCGGGAATGATAAATGGAAATATAGCTTATGGGATACAGGATGTCAGAGGTGTAAAATATCTGTAAGATCAAGGGTGACCAAACTGTAGTACACACACCACAAGTGGCAAAGGCAGCCTCTGTATGTGGCACACAGCAGATTAGAGAAGGGACAGGCAGAAGAGCAGCAGACAGGGCAGGAAGCAGAAAGCAGAGCAGCAGATTGGGCAGAGGAGTGACACTCAGGTGCCACGTCCACATGAGTGCAGCCATGCGGTACGTGGTGCTGCAGACCCATCTGCAGGGCCACACACTACACATTCAGGCATTCCCTGGACTGCTGCTTTGCAGTACAGGTTGGGGAGGGGGACACTGATAGAGATTTTTGGGGTGGATACTGATAGCTGATTTTTAAGGTCGATACCTATCTGATTTCTGATCTGCAGCCCAGCAGCTTGAAGAGCAGTGTCCAGCTGGT